GGCTATAAATTCCAAATCAGTCTTTAGCAGAGTATGGTAGCACATGCCTTTAATCCTAGCACTTGGAAAGCAGAGGCAAGCAGATCTTTGTGAGTTCCAGGCCTGCCTGTTCTACATGGTTGGTCCCAACAACCAGGCCTACACACTGACAGAAGCCAGGCCTGGAATTGTCATGACTGTAAGTGCAGTCATGACACATGCACTGCCCCCCAAATAAATAAATAGATTTTAATAAAAAACACTAAAATCCTACAACATGGGACTGGAGAGATGGCTCAGCAGTTAAGAACACTAGCTACTCCTGCAGGATCCTGGTTCAGTCCCCAGGACCTACATGGTAGCTAACAATCATCTGTAATTCCAGTTCCAAAGAATCTAACACCCTCTTCTGACCTCCACAATTGCATGTATGGCTGCACTTACATGCAAACACATATATACCTAAAATTAAAATACAAATTAAAAAAGAATCCCTAGAACATAACAGAAGTCCAACATACTTTTACAAATGGAAAAAAAGACAAGTAGAAATATCAAAGATAACACTTGCTGGGCCAGGTGTGGCGGCACAGGTCTTTAATCTTGGCACCTGGAAGGCAGATGCAGGTGAGTTCTAGGTCAATCTAGTCTACACAGTGAGCTCCAGGCCAGTCAAGGTTACAAAGTGAGACCCTGTCTCAAATACAACCCCAACAAAAATGCTTGTTTTTTATTCAGCCAGGTGACGGTAGAGAAATTTATTTACAACTTTCAGTTTGGGGTCAGGGGTACAGATAAGTAGAGTGATTATTGGCATTCATGAGATCCTGGGTTGTTTGATACACTGACATTGAAGAATCAATAAAAATAAAATCCATTTTTGTCACTATGAAATAAAACAATCACTATATAAACACAACATGCTCTGATACCCTGCAAGAAATATATCCCTACGATTCTCTTATTGGGGGATGGAGTGATGGCTCTGACTGCTTTTGCAAAGGACCCAGGTTCAATTTCCCAGCACCCACGTGGTGGCTAACAATCATCCATAACTCCAGTTCCAGGGGATCCGACACCCTCTTCTGTATTGCATGACACCAGTGCACTTAATATACATGCAGGCAATACACACACGTATAAAATAAAAATAAATAGGGGCTGGAGAGATGGCTCAGCAGTTAGGAACACTGGTTGTTCTTGCAGAAGACATGGGTTCGAATCCCAGCACCCATATGGCAGCTAACTGTAACTCCAGTCCCAGGGAATCCAACAGCCTCTTCTGACCTCCGCAGGCACTGCACAACACCGGTACACTTACCTACATGCAGGCAATACACTCACACACACAAAATAAAAATAACATTTAAAAAAAAAAAAAAAATAGCCAGGTGTGGTAGCGCATGCCTTTAATCCCAGCACTTGGGAAGCAGGCGGATCTCTGTGAGTTCAAGGCTAGACTGGTCTACATAGTAAGTTCCAGGACAGCTGGGGCTACAGGGAGACCCTGTCTCAAAAAGACCAAAAAAATAAATAAATGAGCAGGAAGATATCATGTTCAAGGCCTGCCTGAGCACTTTAGTGACACCCTGTCTCAAAAGATAAAACTGGAGGGGCTTCAGAGCTGGCTCTGTGGTTAAGTACAGTGGCTGCTCTTGCAAAAGATCTGGGTTTGGTTCTAGCGCCCACATGGTGGCTAACAACTGTCTAACTCCAGTTCCATGGGATCCAACATCCTCTACTGACTTCCATGGGCATTGCAGGATACAGGTGTACTTACACACATGCAGGCAAAACACTCATACACGTAAAAATAATAAATTAGAAAAAAACACCCAAAAACATAAAGCTTAGGGCTACATGAGACTTGGTCTCAAAGAAACAAAAATCAAACAACACAAAATGGGCGGGGGCTGCTGCAGCATTAGCTCACTGGTAAAGTGCTTGTCTAGCAAATCAAATCAAGATCCAGAATTTAAGCCCAGGAAAAGAGGGCAAATAATGGGGTAGGGCAGGGAGAGGAGAGCAGGGTGGGGTGGGGAGACAGGCAAAGGGAAGGAGGAGTATGGGTCCTTAACTAGCATACTAGAGCTGAGCTATACCCCCAACCTCCTCTTATAGGCTATTCTACATACAGCAAACAAAAATAAAAATTTGATTACATCATTCCTCTGCTAGAAAAATCCTTCACTGCTGGGTGTGGTGGTGCACACCTTTAATCTCAGCACTCACTAGGCAGAGGTAGGCAGATCTTTGTGGAATTCAAGGCCAGCCTGGTCTTAGTCTACAAAACAAGGCTACTGTCTGCCTCTATAACCTTACTTCTTCCACTCTTTACAGCCTGCTCTCTAAACTCCACCTACAGCTGTTTGTGATGGTGTAGGCCTATATTCTTAGCACTTATGAGGCAGTCAGGAGGATCACTACAAAGTTGAGACCAGCCTGGTCTATACAGCAAGTTCTAGACCAGCAAGGGTTACATAGGAAAACCCCATCTCAAAAATGGAAAACTTTGGGGTTGGATAAATGGTTAAGCGGTTAAGAGCACTGGCTGCCCTTCCAGAAGATCCAGGTTCATCAGCACCCACATGGTGACTAACAACTGTCCTTAACCATAGTTGCAGGGGAATTTGATGTCCTCTTCTGGCCTCCGTGGGTACCGCATGACACAGGTACACTTAGCACGCATGCAGGAAAAACACTCATACACATAAATACAAATAAATTAAAAAAAAAAAAAACTTTTAAAAAGGGAAATAAATGCCAGGTATGGTGGCACACACCTTTAGGCCCAGCACTGGGAAGGCAGAAACAGGTGGATCTCTGTTGAGTTCAAGGCCAGCCTGGACTACATAGCAAGTTCCAGGCCAGCTGGGGCTACAGGGAGACCCTGCTTCAAAAAGACCAAAAAAAGAAAACAAGGCATGTCTATTTCTTGTTTTATTACCACTCTCACCTATTAGAACTGAAAACTCCAAAGCTGGGCATAATAGCACATCACCTGTAATTCCAGCACGGGAGATGATAAAGTAGGGGCAAGATCAGGGCAGCATGGACTTAGTAAGACCCTGTCTCAGAAAGTAAACAAACTGGCAAGATGACTCAGCAGATAAAGGCACTTGTTACCAAGAACCCAGGACCCATATGATAGAAGGAAAGAACTAATTCCCTTAAGTTTTTCTCTGACCTCCACTCACACACCATGGCCCAATTGTATCTGCAGCCACACAAATAAATGCAATTAACTAGAAACTGTGCTGGGTGTGATGGCGCAGGCCTTTAATCCCAGCACTCTGGAGACAGGCAGGCAAATGTCTGAGTTCAAAGCCAACAAGGTCCACAAAGCAAGCGCCAGGCCAGCTGAGGCTACAGGGAGACCCTGTCTCAAAAAGGGAGGGAGGGAGGGAGGGAGGGAGGGAGGAAGGAAGGAAGGAAGGAAGGAAGGAAGGAAGGAAGAAATTGCTCCAAAAAAAGGGAAAAAAAGTAACCAGGGGCTGAAGCGATGGCTCAACAATTAAGAACATTGGAGGCTCTTGCAGAAGACCCAAGGCTCAATTCCCAGTATCCATAAGGTGGCTACCAACCATTCATAACTCCAGTTCCAGGGGAATCCGACACCCTCTTCTGACCTCCAAGGGCACTGCATGTCTTGGGTGCACTTACATACATGCACACAATATACACATAAAATAAAAATAATTTTCTTAAAAAAAGTAACCAGGTACGTGTGGCACACCTGCAATTCCAGCATAGGCAGGGAGATCTCTGTGAGATGGAGGCTAGCCTGGTCCACACAGTGAGATCCAGGCCAGCCATGCCTGCAAGGAGACCCTGTCTCAAAAACCAAAAACAGCAAAAATAAAAAGTTTTAAAAAGTGGCGCTCAGCTGGGCATGGTGGCACATGCCTTTAGTCCCAGCACTTGGGAGGCAGAGGCAGGCAGATCTTTGTGAGTTCAAAGCCAGCCTGTTCTACATAGTGAGTTCCAGGTCAGCTGGGGCTACAGGGAGACCCTGTCTCAAAAAGACCAAAAAAAAAAAAAAGAAAGTAACCAGGCATGGTGCCCCACTCCTTTAATCCCAGCATTCAGGAGGCAGAGGCAGGCAGATCTCTGAGTTCAAGGCTAATCAGTACTCAAATAATGAAATAGTCTTTAAAAAAAAGCAAAACAAAACAAAAAAAAGGTAAATAAAAAGGCTAAGAACTATTGTTTTCTTCAGATGTTTTCCAGAAGTTCTAAATGAACCCTTTAAGAATTTACTTTTCCATACACAGAATGCACTCAGACCAAAGGAGAAAAGAAAAGGTGACTAAATGATACTTTGTACATGATAACTAATCAGATTATCAACTAAGAAACTTGTAGCCAGGTAGCTAGGCTGAGGCAGAATGATCATGAGGTTCAAGGGTAGTCTGGTCTATACAAGATCCTATCTCAAAAAAAAAAAAAAAAAAAAAAAAAAAGGAAGAAAGGGAGAGAGGAAGGGAAGGGATGGAGGAAGGGAAAAGAAAAGAAAGAGGATGGGGAGCCAGCTAGCAAGATGGTTCCATGGATTAAAGCTCTTGCTACTCAGCAGCCTGGCCACCTGAGTCAGATTCAGAAGACCCAAATGGTGGAAGGAGAGAACAGAGTCCAATAAGTTGTCCTCTGACCTATATAAGCACACCTTCACATTCACATTCAAACACACACATACACCAATCAATAAACAAATGTAAAATAAAAATGGAGCAATGAGATGACTCAGTGAGTAAAGGTGCTTGTTGCCAAGCCCTATGACCTCAGCTCAATCCCCAAGATCCACATAGTGGAAGGAGAGAAATGACTTCCGAAGTTGTCCTCTGAACCCCACATACATGCCACACCCACCAACCCAAAGTAAATAAATAGAAATTTTAATGCCTTCAAGATTAGGACTCATTAATAGTAATAATAAATACCAACCACACTTCCTCAGAATTTATATTAATAATGATTTCTCTTCCATGAGGAAGAAAAAAACCAAATTTCTCTTTACATACCTTACAAATGTGCTAGAAAGCACACAGCTTCCACGACAGAGCTTGTACAAAGTACCTGGAACTTCTCAGATGCAACACTATAAAAATAAGAAATAAGAATTATATCTATTCATTTTATAAGGATAAGAAAAAGACAGCAGTTGAGCATGGTGGCACATGCCTTTAGGCCTAGCACTCAGGAGGCAAAGGCAGGCAGATCTGTGAGATTGAAACCCTGGACCAAAAATAAAAAAAAAAAAATAGAAGAGGATGCCAGATCCCTTGGAAATGGAGTTAAGGATGGCTGTTAGCTGCCATGTGGGTGCTGGGAACCAAACCAAGGTCCTCTGTAAGAGCAGCCAGTGCTCTTAACCACTGAGCCATCTCTCCAGCCCCTATTGATTTTAGGTGTGTGGAGTTCACTGGAGAGCTTATAAGAGTCAGTTCTCTCCTTGCACCATGTGGGTCCCAGGGATCAAACTCAGGTCATCAGGCTTGGTGGGGGGCAAGTGCCTTTACTTGCTCAGCCAACCTAACCAGCCCTATTCTCAGTGCTTCATTATAAAAATGTTTATCTTTTAATCCCTTACATTTATTTATTCTTGGAGGAACACATGCCATGGCACATGTATAGATGTTAAGAGGATGACTTTCAGAAGTTGATTCTTAAAAGAAAAAAAAAGAAAGAAATTGGTTCTTTCCATCATGTGTCCTCAGAATCAAATTTAAGTGGTCAGTCTTGGAGGCAGATGCCTCTACCCACAGAGCCATCTCACTGGCCTTATGACAAAAATCTTTAAAGACAAAGAAGAATTTTACAATGATTATCTATACCCTACTACCCCGACTACAGTAAACATTTTAATGACTTGCTTTATTGCAAATTTAATTTTCTCTTTATATTTTATTTAATATTTAGGTGCTAAGGGACCAATTCAGAGCTGTATACATACTAAGCAAATGTCCCTTAAGGCCCTACATTTCCTGTTTAATACAGGTCTTAGAGCACTGACAGCTCTTGCAGAGTACCCATTTTCGATCCCCAGCACCCATATGGCAGCTACAAATCATCCTTAACTCCAGTCCCAGGGGAATCCGAAGCCCTCTTCTGATTTCCACAGCACTGCGCGACATGGGTGCACTCACATACATGCAGGCAATACATTCATACACATAAAATAAAAATGAAATATTTTTTAAAAATTTAAAAAAGCCAGATGTGGTGGCGCACACTTTTAATCCCAGCACTCGGGAGGCAGAGGCAGGCAGATCTCTGTGAGTTCGAGGCTAGCGTGGTCTACATAGTGAGTTCCAGGACAGCTGGGGCTACAGGGAGATTCTGTCTCAAAAAGACCAAAAAAATTAAAATAATAAAAAAAAAAGTACAGGCTAATAGTATAGCTAAGTAGTAGAACACTTGCCCAGAATCAAAGCTGGGTTCAATTCCCAGTACCACAAAATAAATTAAGAGTTATATTACTTTGTAGGTGTTAACAACTGAGTTCCACTGGACAGGAGCATAAAAAGAGGACATTATTAGGAACATTTTTTTTCTTGAGACAGGATCTTGCTATGCAGCCCAGGCTAGCCTGGAATCAACAATCCTGCCTCAGCCTCTGAAGTACTGGGATTACAAGTATATGTCATCTCACCCACTTCCAATTTTTTAATTAAGTAATTATGCATAATTTATACATAACTATTGTACTGTCTACAAAAATCCACCCATTTCAAATTAGTTCTCTAAGAAGTTGGAACATCAGTCTTCTCACAAAGTTAACGTAATCTCTTGGCTCTCTAGTACAACTAGGAAGATCCATAGTTTAACACTCAAGTTCTTCCTCTTACCACTTCAGACTCCACCCCAGACAAGAAACACCTGAAGATCCAACACCCTTCTAGTAACTTACACCCCCAAATGACCAGGATACACTTTTAAAACTCAATAACCGAGAAAGTGTAAGGACTACGAAAATACTCCAACAAAACCACTACCACATGTGTGCACAGACCACTGTTTATCTGATGCATGCAGATTCTCCTCACTCACTTTAAATCAAGTCAAAGACCTGAAACATTCTAGCTGGACCTTTACAACAGTGAACTGGGAGCCTCCCATCAGAAGCTGGGCCTTCAAGAAGATTAAGACAAGACACCTAAAGCCAAGACTGAGCTAGAAAGGGACCAAGGACATTCATCTATCTCCCAACCACTTGCACAGAAAATTGAAATCTGTTTGGCAAATGGACTGATCAGTCTTCTAAAATAAGCACAATCTGCAAGATATAAAAGGAGAAGACTAAACTGGAATTCCTGTGCTAGCTATATTTGAGAGCACATCGAGAATATAGAAAAACCAGTTCTAGTCTAACTAGACATAGGACCTTCAAAAATTAAGTCTCACCAAGCCAAGTGGTGCCCATCCAGTGATCCTAGCACTCAGAAGGCAAAAGCAAGAGGATTATGAAAATTAGAGGCTAGCCTGTCTACACAGCAAGTTCTAGGGATACAGTCAGACCTTGTCTCCATTTTTTTTTAAGTCTCAGGCAGGTGGTTCTTCTGTTACTATCATGCCCGCTGTTCTCTGCAGAGCACTAAATAAACTTTAAGAAAACAGAAGTCCCTGAGGTCATTTCCACATCTGCAAATGGGATTGCTCTGCAAATCCTGAAGATTCTTTTCGAGCCAGAACCCTATATCCATGAAAAATTAGTTGATTAGAAGTTGTAGGGCAGGAATGAAGCTCCCTGGTAAGACACCTGCTCAGTATGCCTCAAACCCTGGGTTTAACTCCCAGCACCAAGAAAACAAAAATATGGAACTGGAGTTGTTGGGGTTTTTTTTGTTTTTTTTTTTTCTATGCCCCTAAGAGCCATCATTGCTCTACATAAGTAGACATGCCCTCAAGATAACTTCTCAGAGATCCTTCACTATTAAGAACTAGTCTTAGCGGGGCATGGCGGCGCACGCCTGTAGTCCCAGCACTTGGGAGGCAGAGGCAGGCGGATGTCTGTGCGTTCAAGGCCAGCCTGGGGTCTACATAGTGAATTCCAGGACAGCTGGGGCTACAGGGAGACCCTGCTTCAAAAAGACATTAGTCTTGTATTTTTAGTTCAAATTACATTGACTTGTCCCAAATGCTCAAAACAGTATCTCCAAACTACCAATGTGGAACATGAAAAATCATCTACATAATACACATACACATTTGGGTATATGACACTAGGTGGCTGAAAATTCACATCCAACATCCTAAACTATGAGTTTTCTCCCCTTCCCTTCAGTTTGGCAGGGGAACATAATCTGATTACACACCTACAATAAACTTTATTTCAAAAGAATGTCAGAAGACAAAAATAACGAACAAAGATTTTTTAGTAAGAACTACTAAAAAAAAATACAAGTAAAACCAACTCTGGGCCAAAAAAAGGATGCCAATTTTCCACTATTAAACATGACTTTTTGTTGTTGTTGTTTGGGTACAAGTAGTGCAATTTCACGGAAACGACCTGTAAACCGAATCCATCAGTAACTGGGGACAGATGCTTCAGTGATTCCTAGTTAATGTAGCAACGTTGAGTAGAGCGAACTGCTCCTATTTTGAAGCAACTTCGCTAAATTATTTTTTAAATTTTTAACTGAAAAATACCCCCCCGCTCAACACAATCTTAACATCTAAGATTTCAAAAAACAATCTTTTACTTACACAATCCCCAAAACTACTGCCTTGAAAAACGAAAATCTACCCAGAGCCTATCTTCACTCGGTATAAAACGGTGATTAATGTTCCACGTTACATGTAGAAGGCAAAATGGAGTTGGAAAGAGTTTCTAGCCGACAACAACTCCGACAGCCACGCGCGCTTCAGTGGCAGGCTACCCAGGCAGCGGCTGCGGGCCGGTCGGGGGCCCCCGCCCAACCCGGCACAGCCGGGAGAGAGGAAGCGGCGGGGAGGGCGGGCGGAGAGAGCTCCACCAGGCCCGGCCGGGCGGGGGAAGGGGACTGGAGGCGGCGGGCCGCGCTTCCGGGGACGGCGCGGGCGGGGCCGCCGCCTCGGGCGCGGGGCCCTGGCCCGGAGTCAGGATCAGGGGCCAGGCCCAGAGCCGGGGGTTGCGGGCCGAGAGCAGCAGGTGGGGCGCGGCCACAGACGGGCGACGGCGGGTGGCCGGAAAAGTGCCGGCCGGGCGGGCCGGGAGCGCCGCGGCGGTGGAGGGAAGGTTTCACTCACCTCGAGGCGACGACTCCGACTCCGGCCTCTTCGCGCCGAGGACGCCTGTCTGGGAGTCGCAGGCTCGGAGATGGAGACCGGCAGGTCCAAGGGAGACGGCGGACTCAGGAGAGAACCGACGGAGGACGGCTGGCGGCAGGCGGGGAACGCGAGCGAGCGAGGGCGGGCGGTGGCGGGAGGGCGGGGAGCAACGTGCGCGCCCCCGAGCGCCCACGGGCTCGAGCTGGCGCTGGTCGCGGCCCCGCGCACGCGCGCACACTCAGTTCAGCCACGATTGCTCAACAGTGCGTCCACACCCTGGAAGCCAGACGCTCAACCAATCAGTGCGGCCGCGTGGGGCATCACGGGAATTCTGGGGCTATAAAAGACCAAGTTGCTATTTTGTACTACCCAAGTCACTCATCCTTTAAGTAAGCAGGGTGGGGCAAGGTGCGCGTGCGCGGTTTCAATACTCCGCCCCAAACTGCCAACTCTTCGCGCAAGCGTAGAATGCTCTTGCCGATATTACGCGTGCGCTCTGAGAGGCCTGACCCCGGAAGACCATAGGCCTGCGTGGTGAGACCCGGTGACGGTACACTCGGTGTGGGGCGCTGGCCAGTCATGGCGGAGCCTTGGTCTGGGCAGTTCTTGCAAGCTCTACCCGCTTCGGCGCTCGGAGGTCTGGGTGCCCTGGGCAGCGAGTTCCTGCGGGAGTGGGAGGCACAGGACATGCGCGTGACTCTCTTCAAGCTGCTGTTGCTGTGGTTGGTGTTAAGTCTCCTGGGCATCCAGCTGGCGTGGGGGTTCTACGGTAACACAGTGACCGGGTTGTATCACCGCCCAGGTGAGGCTCCCCACGAGGCCTGGCTGCCCTCACCACCATTAAGGTGTACCATCGAGTTCTCCAGTGTCCCCGTAGACAGCCACTGGTCTCTCTTGAGTCTCACTGTATCCAGACTTACCCACTATTTTACACCAGAATCCCCACCAGTCCACCATCACATTGTAGCTATCCTTACCAGACACTACTGCTAGTCCCCAGCATCTCAACCCCAATCGATTTAAACAACCGTGGCTCTTAACCTGACCTGGGCTAATGCCTGCTCAGATCCCCATCCCCAGCCTCCTGCAGCTCTGGGTGTGTTCCTGCCTCCAGGTCTGGGTGGCCAGAATGGATCCACACCTGATGGCTCCACACATTTCCCTTCATGGTAAGTAAATCTCTCTCTATCCCAACCCCATGCTTGGCAGGCAGAGGACACTCGTGTGCTGGTGACAGGGAAGAGAATTCTCAGGATATGAGTGCACCAGCTTAGTGGCCTTTGCAAGCATCCTCCAAGTCTGCAGGTAGAGGCTCAAGATTGAAGTTGGGGGGATAGCAGTGCCTATAGAGTCATCAGAATGTTCAGTAACCTGTGGCGATGGGTGGTGGTAACTGTCATAATTTCAGTGGCATGTCTCTTGGGAGCAAGCCCCTCAGTTGGGAAGTTACTCTGTTGGGAAAGCAAGAGTATCTATTCTAGGCAAGTACTGTACAACTGGAGCTGTAACCCCCAGCCTAGCAGCCTCTATTCTTAGCATACTGACCTCATCAAGTCAGTCTCCTCTAAAACAACAGCCTACTTATCAGGGCATTCATTCAACTAATCTCTGAGCTTCTATGAGATGGCAGCAGTCACAACAAGCCCAGAAAACAAGGACAATCCCAATTCTGCTCACAGGGGAAGCAAGTTTTATAAGAGAAATAAGTACAGATACAAAAGTGCTCAGGGAAGGCTCCCCCAGGAGACCTAAACTGAGAGCAGGAGGTGGCACAATGTACTGGACAAGAAAAAAAAAATTGATAAAACAAGGCCCACTAGCATGGATAAATGTGACATGTTGGGAGAATAGATGAGGCTGTGATGGAGTTTGAACACAAAGGTACAGAGGGCCCAGGGAACTGCTGAAGGACTGATTGAGTGAGGCAGTGACCAGATCTAAATTGCCTTTATAACTGTCTGCTTAAAGGCAAGTAAACAAATGGCTTCAAGAATAAAGGCAAGACATCATTTTAGAAGGCTTCCACTGCCTAAGTTTTTGTCTTAGCCAACAGGATAAAGATGGCAGCACCATAAGACAGGGATCCAGGAAGAAAGATCTGCAAGAGGAAGATGGTGGGCCCAACATGAACTGTGGGAACTCAATGAAGAAGTCTAGAGTATACTACAGCCTAACTGAGCCCACCTTAGCCAAGAGGGGCTAAGGAAGAACTAATGTCAGGAACTGTTCTGCTATCCATGAAATAACCTCTCTTCTCTCCATCACTTGCAGGGAAATGGCAGCAAATGAACCTCTCAAAACCCACAGAGAATAAGGGAAAACAGCAGCAGAAGAGTCTCCAGAGGCATCACTGGGCCTGCTGGCTTCTATGCTGTATTCTACTGCTGCCAAGACCTCCTGGACAACAGCAGGGGGCTTGGGGTTGGGGAAAGGGAGTACTCCAGTACTTCCAGGGCAAGCCTCTGTTATTTCCAGCCTTGTCCCTGACAGCCCCGGGTACTAGGCAGGCAAAGTTTGTCTCTACCCTGGTGTGATTACCTTAAGGAAAGACCTCTCAAGGGTCAGAGCCGAGGAGAAGCCTTTAGGTTGAGGAAGTCAGTAGTCCCTTTTATCGCTTTTGCTTTTTTGTTCTCATCCCCCTGGGATATAACCTTATAGAGATTTGTCCCTCTAAGAGGAATCTTGAGGTTGACTGGTTCTAGAATTTGGGTGTTTTTTTTTTTTTTCTTTTGGTCTTTTTGAGATAGGGTCTCCCTGTAGCCCCAGCTGGCCTGGAACTCACTATGTAGAGCAGGCTGGCCTTGAACTCACAAAGATCTGCCTGCCTCTGCCTCCCAAGTGCTGGGATTAAAGGAGTCTTTTCTCCCGTAAGCCCTGATTTCCTTGGCTTTGCTTTGTTGGCAAGAAGCCAGTTAATCCTGGCCTGGGATACTCTACTGTTACTTAGCTGGCCATTCAGGCATAAGGTAAGGTGTCCTTATTAGCACTATCCAGGTGGAGGCACCAAATACCCACCTCCCTAGACCTACCACCTCCATTGCTTAAGTGCTCATAGGATCTTTGTTCTGTACCCTGCCCACTGCTGGGGAGGTACTAAGCAGTTAGGACAATGATTTCATCATGCTTTACAGTCTCATCTTGACCTAGAACAAGGGCCTCATCCTAAGAGCCAACTAGTATTTCAGCACTTAGAAACCTCAGTAAGAGTAAGCCACAAGCTAGCTAGCCCTGGTCCCTTCAGTGGGTCAGGAGAGGTTCCAGAGGGGTGGGGGGTAAATGCCCCCACAGAAACACTACGTTTTGAGAGCACTGTGGCTCCTAAAAGCATTGTGGCCCTGAATCTTCCTTCTCTAACAGTTGTACCACTGTCTCTGCTTGGCCACTAGCTACCTCAGGTGTCCCACTGCCTGCTTCTGTGTTAGATGTCACATAGCCATCTGGCAGCCTTTGCCTACTCAGACTTTATAGCAAGTGCATTCTAAGTGAAACTGCACTGAACTCATATACATGTACCTACTTCAGAGATGTCATCTGGGTAGCAGGCCCACCCACTTCATAATGAAGAATCAAAGTCTCACATTCTACCCCAGGCTCAACTGAAGATGTGGCATATTAAACACAGAAGTGCATAAGTTGTGTGGTTATTCAAATAGGACAATGCATGCACAGGGGCAACTGATAAGGGAACATGTTGGGGCTGTTGCTCTCAGGATCCAAAATAGAACAATTTTCAGAGGTAGAGAGGTGATGCCAGCTCTCTGGAGTAGTGGTAGGTTGCCAAACGGGCAATATCCCCATTAGTTTTTGGATTTGTATTTTTTTGGTTTTGTTCATATGTGTACGTTTTGGGAGGGAGATTGGTTAAGTGTCATGTTGGCCTACACCTCAATATATAGCTGAGAATACCTTTGAACTCCCAATCCTCCTGCCTCCAACTCCCAAGTGCTGGGATTATAGGCATGAATCTTTCAGAGCCTGCTTTGGAGGCCAAGAAGGCAGGCACTGTATTGGCACCCCAGGAACCCTGTGAACAAAGAACTATGAAGCTGAAGACCGTGGCAAGTGAGGAGGAGGAAAGCTTCTTTAATTTTTTTCAAGGGTCAGTACAGTTATTCATAACAAGGGCAAAGGTCAGCCAAGGCACTAAACCTGCCATGGCTTGTTACTGGGCAGCAGGCTGAGTTGACTGGGGAATGTGGAACAGTGAGTCCATGTTTGCTTAGCCATCCCTAAGTTTACACATGAGCAACTGAACCAACACTGAGTCAGGAGTCACTTCTTTCCTAGGAAAGGCAGCAGTATGCATTCATGGAAAGCAAAGTAGAGGAGGTACCTAACACTGCCCACAGTAATAACTCTTTGAAATCAGAGAAACCGTAGTGAGGTAGGTTGGGTAGGTGTTATCCTCCCCACAAGGGCAGACCTTTGTTTCTTAGCCAACACCTGGCAGAACAGGGTGAGTGGGATTGTGGACTGACATAGAACATTAGATAAGATGACCCATCATTGAGAAATGGGGTCCTGAAGTTGGAGTAAGTTTTTAGAAGACAAAAGATGGGATGGCCCCCTCAACCAGACTAGAGCAAACCCCATTCAGCTTCCATTCCAATGAATTCTGCCTCACTCATCTGACTAAACCCTATGGGAATGTCCTTCAGAGCAAGACTCCAGGAGGGAAGGGCTTTGCCATAGGCCATCCTCACTTCAGAGTATAGTACTTCGTGGGCACAAAAGGCATTTTGCTAACCACAGCCATCTGAGGCTTCCTCCGCACCTCCACCAGCAGCTGTGTCCCTGGCCGACTGTACTTGGATGGCACATAACCCATCGCCACATTCTTCTTCAGGCAGGGTGAAGGGCAGCCACTGGTCACCGTACCTGTCCAAGCATAGGATATAGGTTAACACCACCCTGTCAACTTGATGTTTTTTACCCCCCTGGAGAAAGTGGCAAAGGCTCCCCCACTTGCCTAGACCACTTACCAATCACAGTTCCTTCTGTGCTCAGAATCGGACTGTGCGCCCGCATTGGGGCCCCCTCACACATCAACCCCACACGCCTCCTCTGCACTTCACCCTTCAGCTGGGGAACAATGATTTTGGCTCCTGGGAAGTCCATAGCAGCTCGGCGTCGCTTCCCTGTAATATAATACACCATAGCATATAAGCCCTAGCTATGGGCACTCCTTTCTACAAAGACTCCAAGTAACATCAATCAAGCATCACTTGGGATCCCCTAAGTTCTATTCCTCCCCTGTACTGCAGTCCAGTCTCCTATCCCCTAGAAGCCATACTTAGAATCCTGTTTGTAATAGATGAAACCACAGTGCTACCAGGGAACGGAGGCTAAGCCAGGCTGAGTCACTTGCTCCAGCCTATACAACCTTAGGCATAATCATAGGCTAGCTGGCTTCATTAAGGGTCCCCTTGATAGTATGTACTAGCCCAGCTCACCCAGTGTCCAGCCAAGGCTGCCCTCCACAGGAGTGGTGTGTTCATCAATATCATTCCCATACAGACAGAGGCCAGCTTCCAGACGCAGGCTATCCCGGGCGGCCAGTCCTGCCAGCTTCACCTCTGGGTTTTTCAGCAGAGCAGTTGCCAAGTGAACTGCCTCCTCTGCTGGCACTGAGATCTGCAGGGAGGACCACAGAATACGTAGGTAGTTATCCCTGGAGTTTGCTGCAGCCACTTATCCCCCCTTATGTGGTTTGATCCTCTGCACCTTGCATATGCTAGGCAAATACCACTGCACCATTGCATTATATCCCCAGCCCCACCCCTCTTTTTTTTTTTCTTTTTTTTGGGGGGGGTCTTTTTGCGACAGGGTCTCCCTATCCCTATAGTGGTCTACTCACTATGTAGACCAGGCTGGCCCTGAACTCACAGAGATCTGCCTGCCTCTGTGCTTTCCAAGTGCTAGGGTACACACATGAAACACCATGTGGGGTAACCCCTTCTTGACATACCTCCACACCATCCTCTCCGGTGTAGCCACAGCGGGTCACACGACAGCCAGACACACCAAACACCTTCATTACAGCACTGGTCATGAAGGGCAGTTTCCTCAAGTCATCTGCCACACAGGCCTGCAGCACCTGGGCTGCAGTGGGTCCTGAGCCCAGGGAGCTAATAACCAAGAGCCCTGGGTCCAATACCCCTTGGACTACAACCCTTACTTAGGAAGCAGAACAGGTCCTGAGCAAGTCCACCTCTGCAAGTGGGAAGAAGATGCCCTTGTCCCTAGCCCATGGACAGCCTTGCAGTAGATGAGGGGAGAGGAAAGATACTTTAGAATTACGGCACACAAGTATCACATCATCTATACATTCCTCTTCAAATAGCCTCCATGCTAAGCAGTAAATAAAACTGGGAAGGCAAGGACTGGCTCCATATCCAGCTTGGCACACTTACCTTGCAGGGCAAGCAGAGCATTATCTACCACCTCCAGGCCTACATCATTGCCTCTGTTCTGGAACTCCTTGACCTTATCCTGAAATGAAAGACAAAAACACCACATTAGGGTCTCCGACCCTTTACTGTGCATCTACTATAGGCTGTAGATTGCAGAACTGGGCAATTAGATAATGGGCTGGTTCCCATCTTATAAGGTCACATAGCTACTGAGTGGTAGGGATGAACTAAATAGGGATGATCTATACCCATGTCTGTCACCTCTTTTACCCTCACCAGAGAATGCTCACTTAGGGGCCAGGGTCAGCTTTATCTCCCCACCTCCTCTAATCCCCACAAAACTCTGATTTGTGCAAGGGGGGGCCTGCTCTTTAGTTTTATGGCTGTTCATTTATTCAAAGAGTCATTTTTGAGCCCCTAATTACACAGGGCTTTCCTGCACATAAAGGACACTGCTTTCTGAACAAGGGAGACAAAGTGCACAGAACAAAGAATGGATATACCTGCATAAGAGCCAAGTCTTTGTCCCAGCAGCCAGCGTTAGACACTACATACAGGTATCCCTCAGAAGTACTGGTCACAATCAAATCATCTAAGATGCCTCCAGCTTCACTGGTAAACAGTGACAGTGTTCCCTAGCATAAAAATAAAGCATCTTTGCCTCTAGGTCCAGGAGGCCAAAGTCAAGGGCAAACCAGACACACTCTTGGATCTCCTTGGTTACCACAAATTCATGCACTCTCATGAGTACAGCTCCAGGTAAAAGGTACAAGGCCAGGCTCAAATTCAGAATCTTTAATCTTCATATGCCAAGTAAATTTTCACCACCACTCCCAGTTTAGTGGGACCATTGTACCCCTCTCTACTAAACTTTTAGAGCCCTATCTCACATTCCTGCTACCTAGGAGCTTCATCCTGTCTATATAACTCCACCCATGCCACAACCTCCAGGATAAAAGCTTCAAAGTTCATGTTTAGGATCCCACAAACCCCCAGAACATTCTTTCTTTAAATTTTTTAAAAATGTTTTAATTCTTTGAGAACTTCACACAATGTATTTTAATATTTACTCTCAACCCTTTTTTTCCTCAAATTTTTAAATTATTTCTACCCTTTTTTTTTTGGTCTTTTTGAAACAGGGCCTCCCTGTGGCCCCAGCTGGCCTGGAACTCACTATGTAGACCAGGCTGGCCTTGAGCTCCACCTGCCTCTGCCTCCCAAGTGCTGGGACTACAGGCATCACCACCATGCTCAGCTTCTCTATATTTATTTTTAACTTCCCAGACTGTGATTTTATCTGTAGACATTCAATTACGTATTTTACATTTTCTACAGGGCATAGGTGAAGATACAGTGGGGTTAGGAGAGTAACAGAAAATATGATGGAAATTCTCTTAGTGCCTGGAATCCCAGAGCATTTTTTAGCAATACCTGCAAAACATTGTAAGGCTGGCCTTAGCCTTCCCACTGGATGGCTAGAGCCTGAGATTAAGAGAATTTTGTTAAAATTCAGGTTCTGGCTCAGTAGGTCTGTAGCAGTACCTAAGTATATTCCTAACAAGCTCCTAGAAGGCAGTAAAACCACTGGTTTAGGGAGAACAATTTGAATTGCAATGGGGTGGACAGAGATCAGCAAACTACACATAAACTCTGATTTCTGGCTTCCCAACCCAATGCAGTGTGGCTAAAATAGTCCTTCTCCAAAGCTGGCTAGGTGTCCAGAAATGACCCAAAGACTCCACCCATCAAGAAAGCAAATCTCAAGTTGGGCATAGTGGCACATACCTTTAATCCCAGCACCCAGAAGGCAGAAGCAGGCAGATCTCTGTGAGTTCAAGGCCAGTCTGGTCTACAGAGTGAGTTCCAGGCCACCTGGGGCTACAGGGAGACCCTGTCTCAAAAAAAGACCAAAAACTGAGATGGACAGAGACGGCGTCCAAATGTAGATGGAATTCCTGACAGAAGACTCCAGAAGAGGCTGGTGCTGTGGGGTTGGTCAGCAGGCAACTGAGTCACCCTGGATGTGAATGGTGCTCCATCCCTGAGCTGTCATAGTATATCTGTGCCATATGCTGTCTATTGTATCCCCCCAGGGACAGCAGTGAGGCCCAATATCCCCACTGGGGTCATACAACTCAAAAGGACAGGAGTGCTCTTTCAGGGAGATCTATTAGGGATTTTCAGTTGACTAGTCTGACTATTAATTTTGTTTAGTATACCAATACACAAAAAAAAAAAAAAAAAAAAAAAAAAAAGAAAAGAAAGAAAGACCCCTTTAATCTTGGAGGTGGAGGTAGAGACAGGCAGATCTCCGTGAGTTAAGGCCAGCCTGGTCTACATATGAGTTTCAGGCTAGCCAGGGCTACATAGTGAGAACTAAATAAAAATAAATTTTTAATTTAAACAAACAGTACCCCAATTTAGGAGAAATAAAAAGGGCCCACCTGGTTTGGCCTTAGTTCTGCAATATCTCCAACCACCAGACTCTCCATCAGCTTCACCCGGTCACAACCATATATCTTGGTCTAGGGAAGATGTGGAAAGCCTCAGGACATTCTAAAAACAATCAGCTGCAGTCTAAAAGGCCACTAGGCAAGGAAGCCTTCATCCATCACAACACAATCCAGCCCAGAAGTGACTAGTCTTTTGGTTCTGGAGTTGATAGAGATCCCATCTTCTCATTCCCCCACACCTACCAGCCTATCTGTGATTGAGCAAGGACTGGGCACTCAACAGGACCTAGCACCTTACTGAGATACCCAACCAATTTCCAGACCAAAACCCAACACAGCAGATGAGAGTAGGTATCAGCACTGGCAAACCCAGGGCATTAAAGCACACTATGTAGCAAACAGAAGAGATTATAGAGAGGAAGCAGTAAGGAGCTCCTCAAAGTCAGTCAGCCCTCTAGTGTCCTTAAAACTATAGTGTGTCCAAGACATCCTCAAACAAAACTGAAGAGTACAGCACTGTGGACAAGGAAGGCCTGATCCAACAGCTAGCATACTCCCCTGACTCACCTGTAGCATGTGGGACACATCAAAGAGAGAGCAGTGCTGGCGTGTATGCAGGTGTGAGTCAACGTGACTGTCCCGGTATTGCACAGGCAGACTCCACCCTGCAAATGCCACCATTTTCCCTCCTTGGGCCAGGTGGAAGTCATACAGCGGAGTCCTGCGGAGTACATCCTGTGGGCAGCCAACCTTAATGCCACGGTGGCCCCAGTCCCCAATAGTCTCCTTTTCCCACCCTCCGAGACCAGTAACAAACTCCAGTACCCTTTATCCTACCTGTGCACAACTGAATGGGCGACTCAGGGCCGAGGGGAGTGCCTGCAGACGAAAACCAAGAAGGGCCACCATGCTCATTGCCTGCTGCATTGTCGCCCGCAACCAGTGCAGACGACACGGAGGCCACCACTCTGCCAGGCACGCTGGGAGATGTAGTCCAAACCCCTGCTTGGACAGGTCTTTCAAGCTGGTAGGGGATGAAAGAGGGGGCGGGAAGCACAGAGGGCTAGAATTCAAAACAGACGGTGCAATAACTCCCAATAGCCTCAGGCTCTTCCTCTAACTAATCAAAGTAAATCAGGCAGTTTGGGGCAGAATAGGCTGCCCAGAACCAGAGCTGGGGGTTAGAACTGCCCTGCCTCCAGAAGGTCAAAGTTCTGCAAATGGCTGAAAAGCCTTCTGAATTACACATTCAGGTCAAATAGCAGTGGGGGATGGAGCGATCACCAAAGAGTGAAGCCAGCCCAGCAGGCAGAATACTATTGTAGCCTGGCCTCACGCAGTCATCTCCAGTTCTCCTACTGGGCACACCTAGGCAGCCAACACAGTCATACATTCCACAAGTATTTATTGACTTTGCTGCACACTAGCCCCAGTGCTAGGAGCTTGGGGACACAGCTGTGAATAATGCATGGTCCCTGCCACTCCAATGTCCTCTTTACTCAAACACACTGAGGACCACTGTTCCCTGAACACAGGAATATGGTCATCACCCATTCAGCAAAAACTGGATGGGGCTAATAAATGATCCTGCAGATGAAGACACTATCTTTAAGAAGGCTGATGGGAGCCAGGCGTGGTGGCACACACCTTTAATCCCAGCACTTGGGAGACAGAAGCGGGTGAATCTCTGTGAGTTCAAGGCCAGCCTGGTCTACAAAGTGAGTTCCAGGCCAACTGGGACTACAGGGAGACCCTGTCTCAAAAAGACCAAAGGGGGGGGGGGAAGGCTTATGGGTAAGAACACCAGGTAGCTACCAAAAGGTGGCTGAACTTTCCCAGAAAAGTGTTACACATATACATATCCAACTTTCCAGGTCTGAGACACTTTGCAGCATTGCTTCATAACAGCTCCCAGGGGCAAAGTCAGGAAGAACAAGAGGGAAGTGGAATCTTATCATAGGAAGAGCAGTCTTCATCATTCTGAAGTAATAGAGAACCCCACCCTCTCAAAAAGCACCAGTGAGACCCGCACTTGGTTGATTGCTCCCCACAAGGTTGATTGCTCATCACACTGGGCATGACTAAAAAGCAGCAGCTGGCAAAAGGAACATGGATGTACTTTGGGCTGTCAGATGGCAGATGGGTTGCAGGACTCATTCTCAGAACCCAGGAGTGCCAGATGTACCTACCCAGGACCAAGAGAGCACATTTCAGGAGCCTGCTCATGGAGCTAGGCACTCAAGTTCCCCAAATCCCCAGCTCTGCCTCCTGGGCTGGTAGCAGACAAATTTAAAGAGGACATTTTCTTGTTGAAGGTATAACACAAAAGGAAAAAGGCCACTGAGGAACGCATAGGAAAATAGGACATCTCTTCCTCAAGTTTCCTAGTTTATGAATGTCAAAGTAGCTGTGGCTTTCCACAGCTAGCTGGAACAGGTTCATCCCAGTCCACTGCATTCAAGATGGGGGAACTGGTAGAAGAGAGAGGAGTGTGTGTTGGCAGGATAGACAGAGGGCGCTTAAGGAGTCTTAGTAAGTAGAACCAGAGTATTTTGAGAGACTGAAATTTGCATTGCAGACAGGAAGACAGGAAGACATGAGTTCCCTACTAGGAACTCATGCTAAAACAACTAGGGGAGCCCCCAGAATTCCGGATTTGCAAATGTGGCCCAGACAGAACTTGGATGCACAGAAAACACACTTCAGCCTCTGGTGGCCAAACCATGCCTGGATGGGCACAGAAGGCCAATGTCTCAGGTAGGAGCTTGTGCTCATGTGTAGGACAGCAAATTCAAGTCATAACAGCCATCAACCTGCAACACAAGAGATCATCAATTCTGACCTGCTTGAAGCAATGTGAGGCAAGCAAAGGGAAGCGATCACTCACATCAAAACGGCCGATCCTTGTGGAAGTATGACTGGCCCGTATCATCTCTGTCAGGGCCCACATCTGCTGCACCTCCGAGGATACTCTGCTGGGGTCTGGGAGACCCTGCTCCAGAAGGAGAGATCAGTGGCCATAAGTCTCTCCCAAGAAGTGCCTTTAGAGCTCTACAGAACCTGAGCTAGGCTACGGAGTCCTCCAGCTGAGACCAGCAACATTCTTGGATAATTTGTAGAACATGAAGTGAGGCCTGATGTTCAGTAGACAATCCAGTCCCATGTGAGAGTCCTCAAATCCCAGAGTGCCCAAAAGACTTATTGAACTAAAGGTCCTAGGTCTGGTCCCAGATTCTTATCATTCTGGGAATCTAACCCAGAGCCTTGTGCATGCTAGGCAAATACTCTACCACTGAGCTACATTCCCAGGCACCGCAGATTACTACAGCCAGAGGACCACCTGTGCCTGTTCTGGACATCAGTACCACTTATATGTGGTTCATACCCAGAGTTAGAGCTTACCTCAACACTGGGAGCAGGCTGCTCATTTGACACTGGGTGGGAAAGCCACTTGGGAAAGGTCACAGAGGGGCTCTGCAAAGCAAAGGCATACTGTCCTAAGTGAGACAGAGTACAAGAACTCTGTCACCTGAGAGCAAAAAGAAGGATCCCTGAGCCTGAGATATTGGAAAAGCCTTTTCAAGACCATATAAGAGTAAAGGGGCTCTCAGATTACTAAGCTCTCCTGCTATGTAGAAGGAGAACACAGGAACAGAAGCAACAAAAGTATCACCCAGCACCTGAAAGTTCCATCTCTGAAAATGATGGGTGGTCTCAAAGGTCAGGAGATACTGGGACAGAACCTCACCTTTGATTATGAACTTCTACATCCACACCCAGCTAACTCCTATGAAGGCTTCCTTGAGTCTCACCATCCTTGCCCATCACCCACCCTAGTGCCCCATTTTTCCTAGCCTTCCCTAGAAGACTTTTGTGTAAAAGACTAACCAATAGTTTGTACATAGTCACTTACGTTTGGTTCCTGCTGGTAGATCTGCAGTTCCTCCACTGTGAAAGACAGCCATAGTGGTGATGGCTGTCGCAGAATCAGACGTAGCTCTAGGACTCTAGCCATGTCACATAGCATCTGACATACACATAGAAGGATCCATCAAAGACCCAGTTCACTGCCCATGAACTTCCCAACCAACAGTAAGCTAAACGCTGACTTTCTAAACTTTTGAGAAGAACAGTAGCCCCTCCAAAGCACATGCCTGAAAGCCACAGTCCAGCCCAGTCTTGTCCCATTCTTCCCTCCTGCTGTTCTAGCCCAATCCCCAGGCAGGAAGTCCTCATCTGGACTACCCTGGCCATGCTGAGGTTCTGCTGACCTGGTGTTTGAATAGCGATACATATTCCTGGGCTCCCTCCTCACTGTGTGGATCAGGCATCAGAGAGTAGTCCCGAAGGCAGGTTACCCACTTGGCTAGTGTATGCCCTGCGGTTTGTTGACGGACACGGATACTCAAAAAAGCTGTGTAGTAATTCTTAAATGTGATTTCCTGCAACTAGAATACACACAGTCCACAATGACAAATCAGACCCAGGCCCAATGACACCATCTCCTCCTTTCTTTTGAAATGTGCTCTTTTGCTAAACAATTCAACAATCACCAGGACTCAAACACAATTTTGCTTTCCAAACGTGTTCATAGTAGTCCAGTAAGTCATACAAACAAACCATGACTGTAAATCTTCCATCTCTATCCAAGATGGTAAGAGGACAAGTATGCCAAGTGGACCAACAAGCATAGGTAATGTGTTGAGCTTGGGATGTAGCTAGCTCAGTTGGTACAGCTTGCCTAGCTTGCATGAAGCTCTAGGTTGGATACCCAGTACCATATAAACTAGGTTACGGTGACACACACCTGTAATTCTAGCACTGGGAGGTGCTAGAATTCTAGCACAGGAGGATCAGAAGTCCACAATGAGCTTCAGCTATTCTAGGCCACTCTGGGTGGGATAGCTGAGATCTTTACTAAAAAAATTTAAAAATTTAAAAAAAGAACCATATACAAAGAAATACCAGAGCGTGAAAGAACCTGAGAATCTGGCATGGAACAAGAATCGTAATTCAGTCTGGTAATAGCAGAGAGTTTGGGGGGGGGGGGGTTGTGTTTGTTTTTTTGTTTTGTTTTGGTTTTTTTTTTTTTTTGGTCTTTTTGAGACAGGGTCTCCCTGTAGCTCCAGCTGTCCTGGAACTCAATATGTAGACCAGGCTGGCCTTGAACTCACAGAGATTGGCCTGCCTCTGCCTCCTGAGTACTGGGATTAAAGGCGTGCGCCACCACGCCTGGCTTGAGTTTTTGTTTTTTAAACACAAAAGGGATTAGCAGGCTTAGACCACACTTGAGTACACAGCAAGGGGGGCTGGTGGGCTCTGCAGACCTAACTGCCATAGCAGTAGTTTTCATTACTGGACATGCATCAGAATCATCTATGAAAACTTTTAAAAATACTTAAGTCAAAGCTCCACCTCAAATCTACTGACTCAGGTGGTCCAGAGTCCAGTCCTTTAATTATGTTTCCCAGCCCATGGTAAGGAACAGCTTAGGAGATAACCACACATTGTAACTGTGGGACAAGAGGGTGGGAGAGGCAAACACAGGGTGACTCTGATGTCATGCCATTAGAGGTAGTCTTTGTGCCGAGTTGTGGTCATGCAGTGCCCTGTCACTGTCAGCTGACAGGGAAGTGCAACTGGGGATTGGAAACAAGTCACCAGGGGTATCTGGATGAGGGGTGAATAACACCTGACCTGTGGCAGGGGCCATAGGAATAGGGAAGCGGTAGGCTTAGAGATAAAGCATTATTCAACGATCCTAGCTTTGGCCAGAAACAAAATATCTTCTCACTTGTTTCATAACTGTATTTCCAGCGATGTCTTGGGAATGGGTACGAGATGTTGAAGAGAACAGGGCAGGAAGTCTAATAAAAGAGTGTACATGCTACAGAAGAAATAAGCTAATGGTCAATTCCTAAGCGCCAGAGACACTGAAGAGGCTTTCTGTTAAAGGTGAAATGCCTGGGAAACGCCCAACTTCCTATCTTCCCCACCCAGAAGCCTGGGTTGCGCCCACTTGGGGGTCGCTCACCTCGAAAGGCGGGAGGCCGGGAAAGGTGACATCGATGACCAGCACGCCGGGCCGACCTTGGGAGGTCCGCACGTCGCCCACTTGCAGGGCTACGGTGCTTTTCACATGACAAGGCACCAACACGCGGGACATGATTCTAGGTGCTGAGACCAACCGCAATCACGGCGGGTAGCCTCCACCTAACGAGTCCTTACAGATGTAGGACTCTGCGTGTCCAGGTCCAGCCGAAAGAACTACAACTCCCAGAAGACCTCGCGCTTGCACAGGCTAGCCAATCATGGACGCTCAGGGCGGGTCGAGAGGCGGAAGTTCCTGCGGAAGTTCCTCTTCAACCAATCCCCACGCACCTTACCGCTCGCTGGCCGCACCCAGCAACGGTGGGCGGGTTCTGTATCCTAAGGATCCACAACGCTTTGCAAGCCCTCTTCACCCCACCTCAATCTCCCTGAGAATCTACTTTGTTAGGATGGTTATCAGTTAAGGTCTGTAAAGCTGTGACCACAAATGGTCATAGTAACCGGCCGACATTAATCGGAAAATTAGGCGTTACATTTGATTTGACCAGTGTTGCCTGGAACTCGCTATTGTACTCGCCTCGAACTGACATGATCCTGCTTTCGCGTACCGAGCACAGCCAGCACTTTTTTTCTTTTTTAAACGTTGCTGGGCTTGGTGGCGCAGAGCCTCAATATGTGAGATTGAGGCCAGCCCGGTCTACATAGCAGGTTCCAGGCCAGCTGGGACTACAGGGAGACCCTGCCTCCAAAAATAAATAAATAAATAATAAAACAAATAAATAAATACGCTGGGCGTGGTGGCGCACGCCTTTAGTCCTAGCACTCAGGAGGCAGAGGCAGGCAGATCTCTGTGAGTTCCAAGCCAGCTAGGGCTACAGAGAAACCCTGTCTCAAAAATACAAAAAAACAAAAAAACAAACAAACAAACAAAAAAAACCTCACCTTAGTAGTACGTAGAGCGCTTGCCTAGTAAACAGGAAGCCCTGGGTTAGCTTCCCCAGACCTGTAATCCCAGCACTCTGGAGGTGGAGGCAGGAGGATCAGAAGTTTGAAGGTCCTCTTCCCATGACCTGGGTTATAAGAATACATCAAAATTGCAAAGCCAGCATGTTCTCTCTCCCTCTCCCTCTCCCCCCACCCCCCAGCTAGATTGTAAAATGCTGTTTGAAAACAAAACAACAATCAGCTAGACTTGGTGGTGCATGTCTTTAAGGCCAGCATTCTGGAAACAGAGGCAGGCAGATCTCTGTGAGATCAAGACCAGTTTGGGGCTACAGGGAGACTGTCACAAAAACAAAAACAAGAAAAAATTTAAAATAGCCAGGCACGGTGGTACACAACCTTAATTCCTAGCACTAGAGAGGCACAGATAGGTAGAGCTCTATAATTTCAGTCCAGCCTCGTCTAACATAGTTTGTTCTAGGCTAACTAGAGCTAGATAATGAGACAGTCAAAATAATAATAATAATAATAATAAAGTTTAAAAGAGAATTTAGGCCATGGAGCTGGAGAGATAACAACAGTTAAAAGTATGTACTGCTCTTGAAGAGGACCTAGCTTGGTTCCCAGCATGCATATCAGAGTTCACAACTTCCTGTAACTCCAACTCAGGTGATCTACTGCCCTTTTCTGGCCTCTGAGGTCAACTGTACTCATGTGCATATAACCCACACAGACACTAATGCATACACATAATTAAAAATTAAAATTAAGCTGGGCGTGGTGGCACATGCCTTTAGTCCCAGCACTCTCGAGGCAGAGGCAGGTGGATCTCTGTGAGTTCAAGGCCAGCCAGGTCTACATAGTAAGTTCCAGGCCAGCTCAGGCTACAGGGAGACCCTGTTTCAAAAAGACCAAAAAATAAATTTAATTAAATTTAAAAAAAAAAGAATTTGCTGTATGTAGTGGCTCACATCTTTAATCCCAGCAATCAGGAGGTAGAGAGGAGGTGGATCTCTGTGACTTTAAGGCAAGACGGGTCTACATATCAAATTCTAGGCAAGCCAGGGCTACATGGTGAGACCCTGTCTCAAAAAAAAAAAAAAGAATTTAAGGTCAGTATGTGCTAGAAAAGGCTCTGACTCAAAATAGCAACAACACTAAGGTTGTAGGTCAATAGTGGGCTGCTTGATTAGTATGCACAAAGCCTTGAATTAAATCCCCAACTCTGCAAAAGCAGTAACAACAAAGGGCTTATATAGAATGGGAAAGGCTCTGGTTCAATCCTCAGCAGTGTAACTAAATAAAGACTGCAGTAGGTAATGGTGCATACCTGTAATTTTAACACCCAGGAGACAGAGATAAGAGGAGCACCACGGATTTGAGGACATCCTGGGCTACAAAGTGAGACTGTCTCAAAACAACTACAACCAGACTTATGGTGTCGCGGGGATCTCAGGGCGCCAGCTGCTGGGCGTGGCGCGGTCTCCCGCGAGCTGCGTTGCTGAGGCTCTCTGCTACCGGGGCTGGTGGCTCTGGAGGGCCGCTGTCAGCCGCCCGGGCGGGTTCCATCCCAATTTCCACTGAGCACTCCCTCAAGGTACGAGATCCGCCGGCTGCCAGATCTCGTTGAAGTGCGGAGACGGCGAAAGCAGGGTCTCTGTGAGTCGTGGTTTACAAAGAGATAGCTCTCTCTGGGAAGACTGGTTCGTAGGCAGTAAGACACAGAACTCAGCTCAGTACAGCTCCTTTATTTAGTGACTCAGGTTGGCTCCAGGTCTTAGTGATTCAGCTCCGATTAATTAGGGGAAACCAGGATATTTTATACTGTGGGGCAGTGGCAAAAGCCTTAATTGATAGGTGCTTTTAGGATGCCCTATTTACATGTGGTGGTGGGCTCCTGCCAGGCTGTCAGACAGTGCCTGAAAATCACACAGGAAAACCTGGCAGAGGCCATGTTTTTGGTAGGGCATCTGTGGCGGCCATTTCAAAAGGTCAGTCAAGAAGAGAGTAAGAGACACCCTGCTGAGAAGAGGAGTCCCTCCATTCACGCCGAGCCGACATGCGGCTATCCGGACATGGAAAGACTACAACCCAAAACAGCAGGAGTCCCCAACATCTCCCCCTTCTTTGATTTAAAATGGAGAAGTGCCATCACCAGCCCTAAGGGCCAACTTATCTGTCTCGGGAGAATTCAAAGTCTGATAATTGACCATGGCCTGTTTTGTAGTGATTTTAGCAAATGACAGTAACTGTCAGCAAGGAAATCTTAAAAAACAGTGAGCAAGCACAATATACAGCATGATCAGAGGGCAACAAGGGATAGGAGCCAAGGGATTGCTAAGACAAATAGATTACAAAGTTTTGATTGCTAAGCCAACCTAATTGTTTGGTGGGTGAAATCTTGAAAATAGATTATTTACAAAGTTTTTTGAGAGTGTCAACATTGGTTTCAACAACATTTGATTCTTTTACAAAGAAAGAGCATTTTTCCCAATATCATACACCCTCTCCATGTCCAGTAGTTATTAAGTCCAATGTTTTTTGTTGTGAAGCACTATCTTGGCGAGAGAGTTTATTTGTTGTTGGAGAGATTCTAGGCTGTCAGTCCCGGATGTCATTGCTTGGTCTAGCTTGTGGCAGCCAGAGCAGGATCAGGTGCAGCTTGGAGGGAGATTTCTCACCAGGTGCTGGGCAGTTGTTGTCATAGCAACGCCTCCAGCATCCAGTGTAAGTTCGATCTCTACCAGCAGGGGGAAGAAGATTTTTTCTCTGCTAGCAGCTGTGTAGGAGGAAAGGGCTTCTTACACCTGGAATGTAATCATTACTGATAGATTAACACAGTTTTGGGCTTCTCCTTTGTACCATATGAAGAGAGGAGGGGCGATGCATGCTGTACTGGAGAGAGTAGTTAGTGAGGCATTTGTAATGAGTAGGCTTGCTCACTGAAAATGCAAATTGAATAATTAGCCAGTTGTATTATTCTACAGGAAAGACAAACATTGTGGTAGGTGGTGAAGGGAAGAAAGTTAGCAACATACTGAATGTACTTGTTCTAGGACATAGTTGATTTTATCTGGTCCTCTGTTTGTCTTTCCTGTAGAATAATATTATGAGTTAGCACAGGCTTAGCTGTAGGTACAAGCTATGGAGAGATATGAAAGTCAGCTGTGGGGTACCTAGAAAATGCACCTAAGTAGAATTCTGTTATTACTCCAATACTCCAGCGATTGTCTTATGGATCTGATTTTTTCCTTGAAATGTTTCTCTGACATAAAATCTCTAGAACATGGTATTAGGGAGAGTGGGGGCTGGCTGAAGCATTGGTGTTAAGCAGGGTAAAGATAGCCATGAGGATGACAGAGAAGGAGGCTCTAGGGGGACATCTACGGCAGGCAGTGTCCACTAGGTCATGGATCTCTTTCCACATGATCCGGTGTGGCTTTGGGTGTCGTCTTCGCCTCTTTCTTTTTTTTGTCTCTGACAGGGTCATGCAGGCCATCTTTTTCATGGGTTGGGAGGTGTCGGACATTTCTGGCTGGAACCCAGATAGGCTTTAGTTGATCCTGTGGGAAAACACAAGCAAATCCTCTCCCTGTGGTCAGCAATGGATCTGGTCCTTTCCAGAGTCCATCAAAGGGGTCTCTCCATCTAACCATGATGGGTGGTACTGGGTGTGTCTGGGCCCAGTGTCAGGTGATGGGGGGAGCATCAGTCCCTCAATATACATTAAGTACATTAAGGGTAAACAAGGCTAATGTTAATTGAATATTGGGAGAATATGTTGTTTGAGCCTGTCTTTTTAGTTGGTCTTTTAAGGTTTTATGTGACCTTTCCACAATGGCTTGTCCTTGTG